TTGGTCAATCACATGATTTCATATGAATACCACATGATTACTATTAAAAATGATCTACGGACACCCTACCCTTAAATCAGATCCTTATTAGAGTTGTATAGTTGAGATTTTTAAGTAATATGATTGGCTAATTTATTTTTATATTGATAATCATATACGGTCTTTGATAATCATATGTAAATAGAAAAAAACTTTTAAATATTTTTAATTTCGAAAAATTTTATTAAACGTATCTAACACATGCTGTGTACCAAAATTTTTAACATTAGTTTCTTTTTTTGCCTTTTTATTACACTGTCAGATATTAACAATTTCATTTTTAATGTCATCTTTAGAAAAATTTATCTCAGAAAGATGTAATTTGGATTCTTTAAGATCAGATAACATGTTTGGATGTGTTTTCAAATCAAGTTTGTTAAACATTCCTTCGACCTGTTGCTGATGTACAACTATATAATAAATTTTAGTTGTTACGAATTCATAAAGAAGTGGGTAATCAGACAAACTAGAATTTAATGCATCACAAAAATTATCAAATTGTTTGCGAAAAGTTAAATCTGAAACAAGGAATTCTTTCAAGCCAAAGTCATTTAAGGTATTATTTTTGATGTTATTTTCAAGTAGTTATATATATGTTATTTCTCGTTCAGATGGTTGAACTATTGGAATATTTAAAATAGCATGTCGGTAGCTTCTAGCAAAGGATTGGGTATAATTTTCTCCTAATTAACAAACTGATAAAAGTAATCTTGTCCATTGAAGCATCTATTTTTTAAAATGTATGATTGCTTTTTTTATACCTTTTTTTAGTGAATTAAATATCTCACCAAATTCTAATTCACTTAATGTTTCGAGTGCTTTTAGCAATTCTTCAGAAAAAAATATATCAAAACTATTTGCAGCATTTTTTAAAAACTCTAGCCACTCTAAACTTTATTAGGTATTTTATGAGCATGTTGACTAGGAGATAAGTTTGTCCAGTTTTCGTCATTAAATATTCATGGTACAGGGTCTTGACTAACAAGAAATGTTATTAATGGAATAAAAAATTGTTGCCTGAATATTGCTAAATATTTTATTTGAATATTAAGTTTTTTATCATTAAGCCAAATATAGAAAAGACACCAAACATTTAAATAAAATTATGTTGTATTAGAATGTGACTCTAATACTTTAATGATCCATTTCGAAAATTCAAGATATGATTCCTTTCTCTCCAAATATTGTTCAGCTGTATATAATTCATACTCTCAACAAGTTTGTAATAGCATTTGATATTGTAAATAGCAATATCCAATAAGAGATTTATAAAAGTCTTGTTATATTTGTATTTAATATTCATTGGTGCATTACTATTTTTACTTCCATAATCATCGTGAAGATACTTAGCAAGGTGTAGAAGATTAAATAGATGAGGCTTTCTTGAAAAACCAAATATACGTCCGAAGGCCTCATTTTTGAAATTGGTAAACACAATATTAATAATATGTAGAGTATATCTGATATGAGTTGAATTTGAATTTGTTAGCCTATTGAACTTAATAATAGCACCATTTATATTTCCAGACATATGCAAAGTATTATCAGTAAGCCATGTTGTACATTTCCATATATCAATTTGATATTGTTGGCAAATTTCAATAACTGAATTTACAATAATATCAGAGTTGCATTTTTTTATAATTTTTAAACTAACTATGCTTGATATTGGGCAATTTTGTTTTTTATCCCAATATATAAAGCAGATAATTAGATTCTTGTCTTGACTGCGGGTTGATTCATCGGCAAAAATACTGAAGGCATTTGTTTGTTAAACATTTTTAGTTAAATTAGAAACAGCTAATTCTGATATTTGTTTATGCCAGGTTGTGACTCGTTCCATTGAAGAACAGCTTTTTGGTGGTTCACCTATTAAAAATTCATATATCAATTTCATGCATTTTATGATTGCATGCATCAAAACCTGTTCAACCTGAGCAAGCTTGGTCGTAAGCCAAATCATATCTGATGAATAGTGCTGATCATTTGATTTAAAAAGAGCTTTAACCTGTTTTTTAAATTCCTCTGAAGAAATTTTCTTAGATCTGTGAACTAAGAAACATATTTCAGATAATTGATGAGATGTTTTTTGTTGAAGGTAATGATTTTGGGACTCAAAGGATTTTATTTTATTAGTAAGAACCTCATTTTTTAATTAACTTTTTGTTTTGAAGTCAAAGATGATCACGTTCTTCTTTTAAAGCAGAATAACTTTCTCGTAGCTGATAAAGGAAGTTAAAAATTACTTCAACTAATTGTTGTTGTAAATATGGTGATATAATCTTGCCTTTATTTTTTTCCTGTGGATATTGCATACTGTCTAATAGTTTTATCGCATCTTTTTTCTCATTGTCATCTAAACCTTGAATAATTTCAATAAGTTTTTCTGTAGATTTTATAGGAGCTTCTAACTTATTTTCTTTTTTAATAGTATATATAAATTCTAGGACATTATTAAAATCTTCTTCATCAAGAGACTGAAGAGCATCTGTAGCTTTTTTAATTTTTTTGGCCATTTTATGATTGCATGCATCAAAACCTGTTCAACCTGAGCAAGCTTGGTCGTAAGCCAAATCATATCTGATGAATA